CCAAATAATCTTCTTTTTAAAAATGCTTTAAAATAAATTTTCTATCTAGTTTTCTTGCCAGAAAAGTTTTTCTTCGGGGGCTCTGCCATACCAGCCCTAGTGTTATGTGAGCCTATTCTTCTGTCTGTAAAACAGGGTTAGTCTAGAACAGTGATTTTCTTTCTTTTTCCCAGGCTGCCCCAGATTGCATCCCTGGGTGCTCACTCTGTGACTGTGGGGTGTGGGTATTGGAGAGAAAGGGCATTTGGTCTCCACTGGGCTCTGGAGCCATAATTCGGTGTTAGGTTGAGCAGTTTTGCTTTTGTTTGTTTTATATGTTGTTTGTTGAAAACCTTTGGATTAGAATAGCTGGCCTTGAGCCAGATCCTTAGGCACTGAGGAGATCTGTACAGTTCTGTATTCCAAAGCCCGCTGGCGGGGCCCACTCATTTGTCCCTTAAACACAGTTTTCTCTGTTCTTTGATTAAATGGAGAGAGACCGTGGTACATATGTTTCAAAGTTCTGTTTTTCTCACATGAAAATGAATGGTTTTTTTATCTCATAAACACAGTTGAATCTAACTTTGCCTAAATGATGACCTATAGCTCACAGTTTATTTCCATTTGGCACTCAGTATATTTTGTCACATTTTCTTAGGGATATAAAATTAGCTTGCAGTGTATTTGCTTAATGAAATTTCAAAATTAATGACTAAACATCCTTCAGTATAATGAGAAGTAACTCGTTTTCAAATAATTAAAACAGCGAATACAGTATGCAAAAACAGATTCGGATATAATATCTAAAATGCGTGGCACTTTTGCTGACAAAGAGAAGAAAAAAGAAAAGAAAAAAGCCAAAACTGTGGAACAGACTGCAGCAACCACAAACAAGAAGCCTGGCCAGGTGAGGTAGACCACAAAAGTTCCTGTTTGCATCGGTGTTAAAAGTCTGGTAGATGCTTGTCTTACATGTGAGGAGTAATCTTAGGCTTGTGTATATGTGCACAAATGTGTGTTTAAAAGATGGTTTTAAGAAGCTAGAATGGTTGACTTCCAAAATTCAGTGTTAAGAAACAAAATATCAACTTAACATATGCAGATTTATATTAAGCAGTTTTATTTACATTTGCATGGCATTTAATTCCATTCTCTAAAATATGTTAATACCTTTTCGCTTATTTCTCAAGTTTTGCTGCCTATAAATACTGTAGTTATTATCTTTAATCATGAGTACTTCACTCAAAGTGCCTTTCTTTGAACAATTCAGTAATATAAACTATAATTTGAAATACTAGATAGTGAAATTAATTGTCAGGCATGGTGGCTCATGCCTGTAATCCCAGCACTTTGGGAGGCTGAGTTGCGTAGATCACTTGAGGTCTGGAGTTTGAGACCAGCCTGGCCAACATGGTGAAACCCTGTATCTACTGAAAATACAAAAAAATTTAGCCAGGCGTAGTGGCAGATACCTGTAATCCCAGCTACTCTGGAGGCTGAGGCAGGAGAATCGCTTGAACCCAGGAGGTGGAGGTTGCAGTGAGGCAAGCTTGTGTCATTGCACTCCAACCTGGGTGACAAGGACAAGACTCCCACTCAAAAAAAAAAAGTGAAATTAACCAAAAGTAATTACTACTGGATTGAAAGTGATTAAAAGTCAGTTTTACTAAATATATTGACTTATGTCCAGTTGTTTTTTAAAAGTAAGACTAGACCTTGGTTTTCTCTTTTATATTTCTCCACAATTTTAAAGCTAAGAGGTTAAATTTTATAATACAGTGTTTAAAGTTTAGGGCTAGCCTTAACAAAAATAACCGACAAATTAAAAACATGAATGTTTGAGTCAGCATTAATATATAAATTCTTAAAGTAAAATTAAATGAGTAAGAAGGATACCTGTTGGAATTAATGTCATTTTTATGCAGAAATTATAAATACCTGCTGCCTTTTCAGAGGGATTGGATATTTAAACTCTCCCTATTTCTTTTGCTTAGGGAACTCCAAATTCAGCCAATACCCAAGGAAATTCAACACCAAATCCTCAGGTAATTTTTTTTCCATGTTGTCCTCACCTTAAAATAAGATTATAAAAATGCTAACAGTAGTATAAAACAACTTGCATGTCTCTAAAAAAAAAATTTTTTCCTCTCCAAGACACAGTGTGTTAAATTGTGTGCCACTGTAATTTAGAAACTCTCCCCTGAAGAACATTTTAATTCTTTTTCAGAGGGAGAAAACAACACCTGACTTTATTTCTTGCTTTTCGTAATGAATCAGTGACAGAATCAAAATGACGGACTTTAAACCCTATGAGGGTGGGGAGCAAACGGTTTTGTTTTCTCTGCTGTACCTAAAGCTTTACAAACACAGTTGCGTGGGTGAGGGTAACTGGCAGGGTCAGGGGCTCTCTTCCTTTCCAGTTGGTTCAAACACTGCAGTGTTTTCTGGAGACTTACACATTATTCTGGCACATAGTTTTATCGTTATCTTTACTCTCACTTCCTGAACACAAATGTATTTCAGCCTTTTTTTTTTAAAGCCTTCTTGTACAGATGTCTTGGAAACTCTGTATTAAATCTCCCCACGAAATGCCTTATAGAGAAAGCCTCAGTAGTGTGCTGATGGTTTCATACTTGTTTTTTCAGATGCTGGAGTCTGGCATGATCCTTAAATCCATAGAATTCTCTGTACCACTGAGGTTTTTTTTCTCTTGTTTTAAGCTACTTGTATTTTTTGGCTCCACAGCATTTATAGTCCAGTTCACAGATGCCAGCACTTAATCCTCTAAACCTTGAGTTGTTCACTAATTGTTTTTTACACTTGCTCTTTTATCTTAAATGAAACTAGCCTGAAGACAGAGCTTTTTTCTTACGTGTAAGACCCTTTTTCTGGTTTCCCATAACCTCTGGGTGAGATATCAAATGACTAATATCTAATAAGCTAACAGAGTATTACTGTTTCTTGTATGTAAACTAGATGTTGTGGATATCTCATTTACTTGCCAAAAATTAGTAGACGAAAAGTCCCTAAGGAATGGTTCTCAGTGGAATCTTTCTAGTTCCTTTTTTTTTTTTTTTTTTTAATATATATGCTGAGAAGTAGTAATAGTACAGAGGAAATGAGTATCTGTGTGATACTGAGTATGGTAATCAGCTACGGAGGGGTGACATTGCGGGCCTTCTCAAATGTTAATATCTTTGACTATGTTATCCAGGTGACAAAATTCTCCAATGACGACTCACCTCCAGATGCTTAAAACATAATTGTTTCACATACTGTTAAACACTTAAGAGATTGGTAATTTTCCAAACTTTCAATGTCTTGACTTGAATGTCTGCCTTACTTAGTTACTGTAAGGTTTCTATTTCTCCACTGTCATTGTTTTTGTTTGATATAGTAAGATTTCACATGCCTAGCTTACAATGCTGTTTAAACTTACAAGCTAACTTTGCCTTTTTACTTTTTAATAGGTCCCTGATTACCCTCCAAACTATATTTTATTCCTTAATAACTTACCAGAAGAGACTAATGAGATGATGTTATCCATGCTGTTTAATCAGTAAGTTTTTTCATAAATAAGTCTGTTTCTGAGAGCTTCCTGACAGGACAAGTAGCCCTTCCATGGGTTGAATCCATTTATCACCCAGCAGTAATTGCTTACAGGTTCATTGATTTGGTCTGGGATGAATCATGAATTGGAGCCAGTTTGCTGATTTAGCAAATAAAGAGCTAGATTTCCACTAATGTTTTGAATTCTTTATTCTGAATTGATATAACAAAGAAAGCTTTGATATAATATAAAAATAGAATTAGTTCTTTATTCCTGCAGTTCTTCCATGGTATTCATTATATTTTAGGCTCTTCCGTCTACTCAGTATTCTTAGTTAGGGTATGATTATTTTTCTTGGATCAGTATTAGGAAGTTGCTTAATAAATTTTAACACAAAGCAAACATTTATGTACTTGCATGTATACATGAATTGTTCTTCTTCATAGGTTCCCTGGCTTCAAGGAAGTACGACTGGTACCAGGGAGGCATGACATTGCTTTTGTTGAATTTGAAAATGATGGGCAGGCTGGAGCTGCCCGGGATGCTTTACAGGGATTTAAGATCACACCATCCCATGCTATGAAGATCACCTATGCCAAGAAATAACATTTGGGATAGTCATCTTTAAAGGACTTGGTATTATGTGTTTGTTTTGGTAACATTTAGTTGGGTCATTTTAATAGTTAGAGATTAGGGGGAGTGAAAGTGAAATTTCTGTGAAGAACTTAAACTAGTGTTTCTTTAGCCTTGGTGAACTATGAAATATGAAGGCCTTAATTTTGTACAATAAACTTTTATTTGTATTCTGTGTATATAATGGTTTCTCTGTTGACCACTGCCCTATCATCAAATGACTATTCTAGTCTAAAACACATCTTAAGGTTTATAAAACTGTGTAAAAGGATGCTTTTCTAGTGTTATTTTGGAGGAGCTAATGATATCATTGAACTATTTTAATAAAAGTTAAGTAGAATTAGATCACAGAAGCTAGTAGGTGACTTGTATTAATGGTAACAGTGATTGTTCTGGGTATTAGAAGAAAATGAGACCCAGGCAGTGTCTAAATTTGATCTTTGTATCCTTTAAAGAAATGAGCATATTTTGCTGGTAGTAGGGATTCCACAAGTCTTTTTCATTCAGTATTAAATAAAGGCCGTGCTTACTGTTTACTGAGAAAACAAAGGGAATACTATCTTCAGACTTTGCATGTAATGTCCTTTCATGAGGCACAACTGTTCCCAAGGTTAATACCCAGCCTCTTTATTGAAAGACCTCCAGGGGAGACAAATAGGCTGATTAATAAAGAGTTGCCAATGCTAAGGTTGCTACTTCTTTGTAATTCTTAATCATCATGTTCAAATATTTCCAAAGCCCATTTTCTTTAGCCTTTGATTTATATTTAAGGCTACTGATTCAGTCCTCTACTGTGTAAATCATGAGTATCTCCAGAAGTGGACACTTTTTTTTGACAAGTATAGTACATGTTAATAGTAACAACAGAAAACAGTGCTTACTTTTTTGGTGCTCCTGTTTTAGTATTCCTTGAACAAAACCTTTATCATTTAGAATTTATACTGTCTATGGAAAGACCACTTTTAGACTTATGTAAACAGATTATCACATCATTCATGCATACATAAAAAAATTTTTCCTGTAACTTTGTCTCATTTAGTCTGACTCTTCTGAGTAACTTTTTTAACCCAGTTGTCAAGCTCTTGTACTTTTGTAAAATAGTAGTGATTTACTAGAAAATGGACCATGCTGTTGTATATTACTGTGATGTCAATTGCTGATCAATTTTCTAACTGCTTACTCTTGGATACCTGTACTTGTAAAAGAACTGAAAGTACTTCACAGACAGATCACGCGCCCAGGCCTGGCCATGCTTTGAGTGGCTGTTTTAGAGGGAGCAGAAAGGCCAGGGTGGCTCAACTTGGGGTGGGAATGAGGGGAGTGAATAGTAAGAGGGGTCATGTAGTTCTTCTTAAGGAGTTGCTTATACTCTGAGTGAAATGGGGAACTATTTTAGAGAATGTTTTAAAGTGGGATAGAATTTACATACAGTAAAGTTCAACCATGTTAGTGTTGAACTCATCCATTTGATGAGTTGGGGCAATTGTATACAGCCATATAATAATCGTAAGTACAGAGCATTCCATCTCTCCCAAAAGTTCTCTTGTACCCTTCTGCAGTCAATCTGTTCCCTCCTACCTTTGGGCCTAGTCAATTACAGATCTGCTTTCTGTTGGAACAGTTTTGCCCTGTTTGGAATGCTTTGGAAATGTATCTGTTGTTGCTTATATCAGCAATTCCACCAATGGATGGGCATGTGGGTTCTCCAATTTGAGGATATTATGAAGAAAGTGGTTATGAACGTTTACATACAAGTCTGGGTGTATGTTCTGTTAAATTTCAAGCAGAAGAGTGATAAGTTTCTCAGTTTGATACAATTTCTAATTTATATGTGAGTTGTAGAAATAGTGCACGGAACTCTCCTAAACACTACAGATTACTGATTATTAATGTTTCTAGGCTTCTGGGCTACTGGAGGTTATGCTTACATTGACCTGATTCTCCATTGTTATGTGATATGTCAGCGTGTGTTTAAGTGCAAGACCACCCTCCCACATAACCACAATATGACCATCAAAACCAGGAAATGTGACTGGGTGCGATGGCTGATGCCTGTAATCCCAGCACTTGGGGAGGCAGAGGTGGGAGGATCACTTAACACCAGCTAGGGCAACAGTGAGATCTTGTCTGTACAAAAGGTAAAATACAAGCTGAATGGTGGTGTGCCTATAGTCCCAACTACTGGCAGAAGGGTTGCTTGAACCCAGGAGGTTGAGGTTACAATTATCTATGATGATGCCACTACACTCTAGCCTGGACAACTGAATGAGACCCTGTCTCAAAACAAAACAGGAAATAATCCCATATTATCATCCAAGTTTTGCTTATGTTCCAATAATGGCTCAAGAATCCAATCTGGGATTGTGTTGCATGTAGTTGTATTTCTTTAGCCTCCTGCTGATTCCTCAGCTTGTCCTTGTCTTTCATGATGGGAATTTTATATAGAGATTGTCTGTCTACCTTTGGATATATCTGCAGTTATGTTAAAAACTATGACTGTATAAGAATGTCTCTGGTTGCAGTCTAACTACTGAGTTCATCCTGGCCTTCCCCCTTCCTCTGTGTATAACTCACTCACCATTCCCATTATCTCTGCTTACTTTCTCAGATCTTTCCTGTGCAATGAAACTCTAAAAAGTAAGGCTTCCATAGGGAGCAGGGGAAGGGAAAAAGGAGATAGCAATGCTTTAAAGAAGCTTTGCTCAAACTAATATCTTCTGACCTCTCCCTATGGCACCCATCTTTGTGAGTTTTGAGGAATGATTGAAGGGAGTAGATGTTATTTAATATGTGGTTCTCAATTTTGGCTGCATATTAGAATCATCTGGGAGACATTTTCAAATACTTATGTTCAACCTACACCCCAGATAAAGTAAATCCATCTCTAGGAATGAAACCCAGTCTTCAGTATTTTTATAACCCCTGGTGATTCCATCGCCACCCAAGGTTAAGAACTAACAAAGCAGATTTCTACTTCTGTGAAGTAGGATATAATAGATCATCGGCTCAAGCAGTGGTTTTCAAAAGTACTATATTGATAAACAGGATAGTGTAAGTCTGGAAATGGTTGTGATGCAGAGCAGGCAAACTTCAAACTTGGGGCTTAACCCAGGAGGGTTCTTGGGTTCACCCAGGAAAGAATTCAAGATGGAGCTGCTGGTGGTAAACAGCAGTCTTTTGGTAAATAGTACTGCCCCTCGCAGAGCAGCATTAATTCATAGTCTGCCCAGAGTTGGCAAAGTATTGTCTCTCGGCAACTGCATTTATACCCAGTTAAACCCACTTTCAGTTACTTGCAAATTAAGAGAAGGCTCAATGCAAATTGAGGGATAGGTTATTTAGAGCTTTCTAGGAAAGGAGTGGTAACTTCTGGGTCATTGCCATGGAAAGGGGCAGTATCTTCCAGGTCGTTGCCATGGCATTTGTGACTGTCATGGCACTGTAGGAGTGGCTTATGCTAATGAAAGAAAGGACAGCTGAGAATCGCTTTCCTTGACATCTTGTCTCTGCTGGTTTCTTCACTTCATCCTGCCTGGACCAGATCTTGTTCTGGCCCTCAGGGTTGTGACCAGAAAACAAGTCCTGCTGGTCTTCTGCCTTAGTCGCAAGAGACTCAAAACTCCATTTTAAACTTTCAGCCTTATAATATCTTCTGTTTGAGTATTTAACGGGCATGTTTTTTCCCTTGAAAATGTATCCAGCCAAGACCTAATGAGGAATGTGAGGCCCTAGCTAAAATGTCGGTATTTTACTTGCCTGGCAGCAGTACTTCTCAAACGTTAATGTGCATACAAGTCACTTGAGTATCTCGTTAAAATGCAGATTTAGATTGTGTCTTTCGGGGTGAGGTCTGAGAAACTTCATTTCTATAAAGCGATGTCAAAGGGACCATGTTTTGGTGACAAGTGGCAAGACCCCAGAGTTTCTACCCTAATTATTTATTCAATGACTCTTACAGGTGTTGTCAATCTCTTTTTAAAGCCAGGGACTTTGCCTAAGCATACAATTTCAGAGCAATCATGCTTTCATTCAATGAATACCTATTTAATGCATACCAAGTTTCTTTCCGGGTGCTAATGACAGAGTGAGGAACAAGATGAAAAGATCCCTGCCTAATGGAGGTTTCATTGCAGTGCTGGAAGACAAACCATCACCAAGTAAATAAAGTAGGTACATCGGCTATGGTATGTGCCTTAAGACAGTGTATGGCAGTCACAGATACAGGGACCGGGTGGAGGAAGGTTTGAAGTAGCTCTTTTAAATTGCTTTGTCTGTGGAGGCATCTTGGCCAGGGACCTGAATGCTAGTATCTGGGGAAAAGCATACTAGGCAGTAAGTTCGGAGCGCCTGAAGCAGGAATTAGTTTAGTGTGTTCAAAAGACGGAACTGGTGTGGGAGGAACAGAGTGAGTGAAGGAGAGAGCAAGAGGTGAAATCCCAAAGCTACAAGGGCCTGATCCTACAGGAGTTTCTAGGCCACAGCAAGGTGGCTGCCTGAACTTGACCGAGCCCAAACTTAGATCCTAGAGGAGCCATGGCCTCAATTTACGAACTCTAGAAAGAGAATCTAATTTAGGAACTCTAGCGGGAAAAAAATGTTATTTAGGGATTAAATGTTTGGAGAATACATCTGAAAGTCTAGAGGAACGAGGTATGCAAACTGGGGACAGAACCCTTACTGAACCCCCAGTGACCCCAGTGTCTTCACCATAACTGCTAGACACAGCTACTTGCTGAATTATTGCAAGTGCAAATTCCTATTTGCATGCAGTTTTACCAAGAAGCCTCTAGCCTCTGTCCACTTTACAATGCTAGAACATCACAAGCTCTCCCAGGCCACATTCAGAAGGCTTGGTATCTCATCACTATTTCTTCATCTTCAAATGCCCAATAACGGCTTCATGTTAGCATTAGCCTGATTTGCTAAGTTGTGATATATTTTGCTAAGATTTTGTTTTTTGATTTTAATCATTTCACTCTGCTTTGGGGGTTCTGTGTACGCTTCCCAATGGGGAGTTTTTGCAGTCTCCATTTCTTCAAGCGCCTCTTAAATGACAATTGTCTTTTAACTCTCCTATGCTGAGGGCTGGTTTGAGACTGGAACAGTCCATAAAACAGCTGCCCCATCAGGATTAAGAAGATTTAATCAATGCTTTAGTTTTTCCAGAAATTTAGGCTCTTAGATTTGATTACGGGAAAAAATGCAAAGGCATTCTGCTTTCAAAAATAATTTTGAATTTAATCTTTCCTTGTTGTGAAACAAGAAATAAAGGATTTATTCTAATTTGTCAGTTCTAAGTCGACAGTGATAAATTGAAATAGCACTGAACCATGATCCCTCTGGGTAACCTTTAGATAGGATGGTTCAAAAAGACCACTCCAGGCCAGGCACGGTGGCTCATGCCTGTAATCCCAGCATTTTGGGAGGCCGAGAAGGGCAGATCAATTTAGGTCAGGAGTTTGAGACCAGGCTGGCAAACATGGCGAAACCCCATCCCTACTAAAATACAAAAATTAGTTGGGCATGGTGGTGCATACCTGTAGTCCCAGGTACTCAGGAGGCTGAGGCAGGAGAATTGCTTGAACCCTGGAGGCAGAAGGTGCAGTGAGCCAAGATAGTGCCAGTGCACACTCCATTCTGGGTGACAGAGAAAGACTGTCTTTAAAAAAAAAAAGGCAAAAAACAAAAAGACCACTGTGGCCTTTGCTGTGTCTCAGTTTTCTTGTCTATAATGAAGGTATTGAATAAAACAAACTTTCCAATCAGGGCCAGCTATATAAAAGATCAACCCCTGACAGTCACACACACACACGACAGTCTCACACACACACGACAGTCACACACACAGCCACACGCACACACACACAGCCACACAGCCACGCGCACACACACACAGCCACACAGCCACGCGCACACACACACAGCCACGCGCACACACACACAGCCACACATACACAGCCGCATGTGCACACACGCAGCCACACACACACAGCCACACATGCAGCCACACACACACAGCCACACACAGCCGCGTGCACACAGCCACACACAGCCACATGCACACACAGCCACAGCCACACACAGCCACACGCACACAGCCACACGCAGCCACACATGCAGCCGCGCGCACACACACACAGCCACACATACCCACACCAAAACTTTTACATACACACCACAGATATATTTAAACAAAGCACTACAATATTGCATACATACACCCAAAACAAAAACCTTTTTATTATATTTTGCTTTACCAATTTATTCCTGGAAAATTGGTTTGCACAAAATTATTCGGTAAGTTAAATTCTTGTCCCTCATTTTATGAGGTTACCAATTTGGGGTTGCGGGGGAAGACATTGCTCTGAAGTCGTATCATCCACCGAGGTGGAGAGGGGCATCCTGACAGGGACCTCTATTCTAGAAGCAATGGCTAGGAACAGGGGAAGGGGCACCTTATGGGACATGCCAGCCTAAACACCTTGTAAAAAGCGGTACCTTACTGTCTCTCCTTTCTAACAGACAGCAACGCTTGGGGCCAAAATCTTTTTTAAATTTACTGCTATATCTTTAGTGCCCAGAACAATACATAGCACAGTAAGTGCTCAGTAAATGTTTGCTGAATAGATGGAGCTAAGTACTGGCAGTTCCACTTTGGTGCCTTTAGAAGTGACCCTCTCGCCATGGGAAACATGGCCAGAAGCAGGAAGTTCCTCTCGCCATGGGAAACATGGCCAGAAGCAGGAAGTTCCGGCTAACATAAACGTGTAACTTCACTCTCTTCTCTATGACCTGTGACCCTTGAGCTTTGAGACTGAATTGCAAAAGTGTTAGAGAGGGGAGGTAGGGAAAAGATGATTGCCCTATTTTTCCCAACCCACCTATCTCTTAACCCCACTGGTAGGGTCTGAATGTGGCACCAACTAGTATGTTAGAATTCATCGGCCGGGCGCAGTGGCTCAAGCCTGTAGTCCCAGCACTTTAGGAGGCCGAGGCGGGTGGATCACGAGGTCAAGAGATCGAGACCATCCTGGTCAACATGGTGAAACCCCGTCTCTACTAAAAATACAAAAAATTAGCTGGGCATAGTGGCGCTTGCCTGTAATCCCAGCTACTCAGGAGGCTGAGGCAGGAGAATTGTCTGAACCCAGGAGGCGGAGGTTGCGGTGAGCCGAGATCGTGCCATTGCACTCCAGCCTGGGTAACAAGAGCAAAACTCCGTCTCAAAAAAAAAAAAAAAGAATTCATCTCTGGCCTGGGACAGACATGCCTTCTAAGAATTCTACCATTAAAGATTTGTAAACATAAGAATTCTTTATTTATCTATTACATACATCTATATTTATTAAATGAATTTGTTTAAATCAAAATTATTTGTGCTACAGATCTCACATTTTCAACAGATTCCTGCAGTTAGCGTGTCTTTGCTTATAAGCTGAAAGAAAATTAAGGGTGAATTAAAACTAAAAATGGTTTGAAATTCTCGTAGTCCTGTCAACAGTGCCCTGCTGTTTGATACAATAAACCACTGCTAAAGCAGCTTTAACAAGAGTGGACCATTTTGGATATTATCTGTGTGTGCAAAAGACACAGAGTTGGACTCTGTTTGGAAAATCAGATGCTAAGTAGCCCCTGAAGCCCAGCAGCCTGTTAGGAAAACAGAGGGGTGATAGGCCCTTCTAATTGGCGGAGGTATTTACCCAGAGGTCTGGCTTTCACATAAAAGGCAGGAACCACTGAAGTCAGTCCCCGCTTCCAGAGTTCAAGTTAAAACAGAAAAAAAGGAAGATGGCAAGAATACTGTTACTTTTCCTCCAGGGTCTTGTGGCTGTATATGCTGTGCATGGAATATTTATGGACCGACTAGCTTCCAAGAAGCTCTGTGCAGATGATGAGTGTGTCTGTAAGGAGTTTTTTTATGCTCTTCATTATCTTTCTATTACATAATTGAAAAGATATCCACTAATAGCATAAAATCGAATTGTACTTTGAAGTGAATCTTCCCTAATGTGTACGTCATCAGCTTTGTTTCTCCTGGTCTGTGTGTTTGGTGTCTCACTAGGGAGAATTCACTCGGCTGAGATTCTGTTGCTTTAATATCTTGGCTATCTTCTTCTTCTTGGATAGACACTAGCTATAAACTGGGAATTATCCGTCACTCTGATTTCCTAGTTTTTCTGATATTCTTTGCCTTTTACTGTTATAAAATGTAATCATTCAAATTTTTTTTTTTTTCTTCCAGATACTATTTCTCTGGCTAGAGCTCAAGAAGATTATAATGCCCCGGACTGTAGATTCATTAATGTTAAAAAAGGGCAGCAGATCTATGTGTACTCGAAGCTGGTAAAAGAAAATGAAGCTGGAGAATTTTGGGCTGGCAGTGTAAGATGAGCTAGTTTATAACAAACACCTATTGACACATATTGCTCTTAACTTTTCCTTGCTTACCGGTCTTCAACCTATTTTAATGCTTAATACTAGTTGTTAAGAACCATGTAGCAATTGTAGATGGAAATGCACAAATTCGGGGATATGTGCATCATTGCATTTTAAAGAAAGAAAGATAAATTTCATAAGAAAATTAAATGTAGGTTAATGTGATATTTTGGCAAAAAAAAAAAAAAAAGAGTAAAGTACATGGGGGCTTAAAGATCCCAAAGAGTTTGAATGTTATCCAAAAACATCTGAGAAGATTTGCCAAGTAGAAGACGTGTGTTGAGTCAAAGTATCAATATTCTTTTAGGAAACTTTGCACCCTCATTAATTCTAAAGAATCAGTGTTCTTCAGTTAAAATATACAGGGGTGGTCCCTGGGGAGGGATGAAGCAGGGTTGATTTTCTGTCCTCATCTGAAGCCCCAAAGATGAGTTTTAAATTAATGAAGGCTTAAATTGAAATCCATTTAAATCTGTTCATTTGAATTTTTGAAAACTGAGAAATTTTCATCATTTAAAATAAGTTTCTACAGTACTTAAAAAATGGACTCTATATTTATTTATGGCTTGAAAAGGAGTTCAGGCAACTCACAGGGCTGCATAAAATGAAGTCGTGCTGAAGTAGCAAAATAAGACTGGGCTGCTAAAGAACAGATGCGCAGTTCCTGCGGGTTAACCTAGTGCTCCAAGTAAACTTTGGATTTGCCTCTGAGCTCCCTGGACGCCAGTGACAGGGAGGTATTGGCAGCTATGATTCTCACCATCAGCAAAGAGGGTGCCTGCGGGTTTCTCACAAGACACTCAGCATCAGCTTTCTTCTCATTGCTACTGTTCTGGACACTTAGGTTTACGGTGAAGGCCAGGACGAGATGGGAATCGTGGGTTATTTCCCCAGCAACTTGGTTAAGGAGCAGCGTGTGTACCAGGAAGCTACCAAGGAAGTTCCCACCACGGTAAGCATCTCAAAGGTGACTAGACAAGGACCTATATTGGAGCAATATAGGCTGGTGTTAAAAATGCACCATGTAACTTACAATGTATAGAACAAAGACCCCAACTTTGAATGGTGACTTTTCTGACATAGTGAGATTTGGGGGACCATTTATAACTACTGTCAACATTGAAAGACAAGTACACTTTCGCTACACCCCCCCCCCTTTGTTTTATTTCAGTTTATTTTTCGGTCTCATCTGTTTTATTTTTTCGGCTTTATTGGGTTATAATTGACTAACAAAAATTGCATGTATTTAATGTGTACATTACGTTTTGATATACATTGTGAAATGATCATCACAGTCAAGCTAGTTAACATCTACAACACCTCACAGTTACCTTTGTGTGTGTGAGTGAAAACTTTACGATTACCCTCTTAGCAAATTTCAAGTATACAACGCAGTACCTCTTTTGTTTTAGATGCAAGTTATCTTGCAAAGCAGTCTATGTCACAAAGAAAGAAACCAAAGTCAGTGTTAGCTGACTCTTACTGATGGTTTTCACTAAAGATAGGCTCAGAACAAAATCAGCAATGTTTTTGATGAAATCGGAACAACCTTTGCGTGCCTTATTTTTGTGGTAAATAGATTCTCTTTATGTATGAAATAAAATTAAACTTTTTCTAATGCCCTGGGGTCCTGTAAACTCAGGACAGAAATAAAAGATGCTTTCTGAGCTACTTTGCAAGGTGCTTGTTTTGAAGAGATTCTCCTGAAGCTAATTGCTGTGCTTCAGACACTGCCCACCCTACACAAATGGGACTCACTTGTCATCACTTCTTAGTATTAAGCTGAAATCTGTCGGATAACCATAAATTAAAGGTTTATTGGAGGACCTTCATTGTAAGTAAGCTTTGACTTAAAGTGGTAATTATTTCATATTCTTTGGGGGTCAACCTTTACAGACTTCCAAACTTCGCTGCTGATTAGATATGATTTTAAGTACAGAATCTACATCTGTTTTGTAGCGTAGCCTCGTCAGTGGAATCTTTTTTTGTTTCTGTTTTTTTCCAGGATATTGACTTCTTCTGCGAGTAATAAATTAGTTAAAACTGCAAATGGAAAGAAAACACCAAAAATAAAGAAAAGAGCAAAAGTGATTAAAAAATGCATGTCTTTAACTTCTGACTGACGTTTTAAGAATTTGTTAGCCTACAGAAGAGCGAGGGCTTAGGGGTTGGAGGTGGCAGATGCAAGAGGATTTTCAACTCACATCTTGTTTCCTGCTGGCCTGGTCTTCGTATGAGCTAGAGCGGGGAAATGTTGAGCTCAAATGGGTAAATCAAAACCAGAGAACTGTTTTTCCAACCTAGAGAATCTCCTTGGGGGATGCATATAAAAGATCATTTATTTGTAGTTATTTCTGAAGAGTAATTCTTCCCAGCTCTTTGATTTTCCGTATATAAAATAGGTGGGTCATAGGTCTTCCTTCTAGTCATGATGTTTTCTACCTATTTTTCTCTGGCCAATTGGAGTGTTAATAGTGTATCTGAAGGGGCTGTATTATCAAGGAGTATTCCAGTATTTATGTCACCTTTAATATTTGATGCCTTTTGGAGGTAAAGCTGTTGGGGGAAAGAAGAGTTTTGGGGCCCATAGATGTTTGGATGATGTCTCTAATTTGTCGTTTAGAAAAATCTCAAAAATGATTTCAGTTGAAAAATTTGCCTTCTAAATGATCAGTTTACTTCTCCCCCAATTTTAAACAAGCATGTGTATATATAACAGGAGAAGGTAGTTTATGGGAATATTTTTGGTGGAATGTTTTCCCTTAATATGCATCCTTGCTGGATATTATTCAAGCTTCAAGTCATCAAAAGACCCAGAAAAAACAATTTGTGGGTTATTTTCTGTACTTCTATTTCAACTTTGAATTTCCTCTTCCTGTGCAAATTTCTGTAGTCAAGTGTGATATGTCAAGAAGTCTGAGGGGAATGCAGGGTTTGTGGTCCTGATGGGCCCACAAGTTTTTCTATATTTAACTGGAAATATGCTTTGATTTTGTGTTATTAATATAATTCTTTTGATGTAGTCATGAGTCTTTCTTTGTTTGCATATAATTAAAATGCCTGTACTCTACTTAACGTCACAATTTCTGAGTTTTTTCTTAAACATTTTCATCTTAGGGTATAAAAGTGTGGGGGACTAGGGAGTGGGGCTTGTTTTTCAGTTCTTTGTGATCTGGACATCCCCTAAGCATAAAGAAGAAAGCAGAAGAGGGCATTTAGGTTCAGCCACATACTTGGCCCAGGGTCATTTTTTAGCTCTGTCAACTGTGATTTTGGGTGAATATCTTTTTACCAAATTGTTATGTAGATCAGTCAAGTAAAGTGGTACCAAAATGCAAAACACAATGAAACAAAGTACGAGGGTTTATTTGTTTCTTTTACTTTATTTCATAAGAGGTTTCAAGTAGCATCTAGGGCACTTGATACAATTTTAAAGTAAGAGGTATTTATCCTACTTCTGTTTCTATTTGCCTCTCACTTCCTGGCCTTTCCATTCCAGAAACACACAGACCCCCTCAGACACCCAGGACCCCCATTTCTCACCTGGCCTTAGGCACCCAACTTCACTCCCCATGCATGGGGCTTCCAGGACAGAACTCCCTCCTTAGTCAGCTCCCACCCATCGAAACTGAGCACATCCAGGAATTGGAGTCATTTCCTGGGGCCTATCTGCATTAAAAGAAAGCAAGTACTTGCAGGACTGTAAACACCATCTGTCCTCTGAATGCAAAGGGCCACGCCTGGACCAGCAGCAGCAACAGCTGGGCCTCACAGGGGAGCTGGTTAGGAGGCAGAATCTCTGCCCACTGCATGCCTTCTATGTCAAAATATGCATTCTTAACAAGAACTCAGGGGATTCCTGTGTACATTAAAGATTGAAAAACACTGATCTTAGTTCCCTCTACTCATCTTACAGAAAAAGAAATAAACAAAAGGCTTGAGTACCTAGGAGACAGAGCAACTCTCTCAAAGTTAAACACGATTACGACATTCCTGTCAGTGCTTTCCCACCCATATCACAGCATTGTCTTGGTTCTCCACTGATGTCTATCCAGAGAACAGGGGGCTGAGTGTGCCAGGGCGAGAGTTTGTGGGCAATGAGGCCTTTTGGGACCCCTTTCCTGTTGCATTGTTCTTCTCCCTTTCCCACTAAGAGAAAGGGCATCTTAGCACCTCTAAAAGGTTGTCAACTGTTAACATAAAAATAATTTTAGTCTAATGATCATTGAGGGAACCCTAACTTGTAGGCTTCCTGGATACCCCAAGCTAAATGATATATATCTACATATATCTCTATGTACCTATATTAAATATATATGTATTTTAAGTAGTCCAAGTTCTTTGCTCTAGCTTATTTATCATGTACCAGGTATTTGGGCCTGGCCACCTGAGTACTTGTGACCCAGCTCCATTCTGGAGAATGGAGCCCTGGCTACCCAAACTCATTCTGTTTTAGCCAAGATTAAACAGAACAAGGGAGTTGCTACCATTTGTCTTTTGGTCTAAACATAGTTAATTTCATTTAGTAAGGGCTTAGGTTTTACTGTGGAGCTTGTACTGTCTCCTTGTGGGAGAAAGAAGACATTTAATCCTCCATCTCTGACCTCACAGAGTGTGGGCAGTAAGACCTCTACCTATGGAAGAATAAAGCACCAATGTAGGGCAGTGGATGTGGGGAGGGAAGGCAGGAAGGTTTCTCGAGCCAGCTTAGTGGTAGACTTTGCCTAGAGTAGGGCCTTGCAAGGCATTACCAGGGCAGGATGAAGCAAGTAAAGAAACTGATCAGAAGCGACAGGAGTTAGGGCCTGGCACATGGTAGTTGGCAGCAAAATGAAATCATGTTGAAAGGAAATGTGTTTAGTGGCATTGGTGGCTTAGAAAATTTAGGTGATGATAAAAGATCCCAGGGTACCTAGGAGCTTTGAAATAACTGGGCTGTCATTTTCTAGCGGGGTATATTTAGATAAGGTTCTGACTATAATTGCAGGACCAGTCCAAACTGGACCTATGCTGTCAGTAACAAAATGTTGAGTTGTGTTTTAAGTATAACAGAGCCCCAAACTGCTAGTCATATTGCCTAGGCATGCACAAGACAAAAAGCTTTGACCTCTAACAATACCCAAAACCAACGAATCGTACCTTTGGAACTAAGAAGACCAGAATAGGACTGGAACCTGAATACCAGAACGCTTTCAGAAGTGAGGGGTCTGTTGGCCCTAAAGATCTGGGGCTAAAATCCTCCTTAGCATACCTTTCTGTAAATGGTCCAATTTAAAGCCCTCCAATCAGACCCTGCCAAGCCAACATTCCCAAATCCTTTCTTTTGCCCACTGTGATGGGATGGCTAATATTGAGTGTCAACTTGATTGGCTTGAAGGGTGCAAAGTATTGGGTGTGTCTGTGAGGGGGTTGCCAAAGGAGACTAACATTTGAGTCAGTGAACTGGGAGAGGCAGACCCACCTTCACTGTGGGTGGGCACCATCTAATCAGCTGCCAGCACGGCTAGGATAAAAGCAGGCAGAGCAGCATGGAAAGACTAGACTGGCTGAGTCTTCTGGCCTCCATCTTTCTCCTGTGCTGGATGCTTCCTGCCCTCAAATGTTGGACACCAAGATCCAACATTTGAACTCTTGGACTTACACCAGTGGCTGCCAGGCAACATCTTCTGCCAGGTACACCCTAGGTCATCATTCTTAAATTCAATCTTCTGCAAATCCACTGGACATGAACACAATGCAGTCAACCTCTTTGCTGGGATGTACCATAGATGACCTTTGCTCCAGTTGCCAATAAGTTCCTAATTTCCATCTGAGACCTTGTCAGTTCAACCATCACTGTCTATATTTCTACCAGCATTTTGGTCACAACTATTTAATCAGTATCTAAGAAGTTCTTAACTTTCTCTCATCTTCCTGTCTTCATCTGAGACTTCCAAACTCTACCAATCTCTGCCTGTTTGTTACCCAGTTCCAAAGCCACTTCCACATTTTCCAATATCTTTATAGCAATGGCAGACTCCTTGGTACCAACCTTCTGTGTTAGCCCATTTTGCATTGCTATAAAGAAAGATCTGAGACTGGATAATTTATAAAGAAGAGAGGTTTATTTGCCTCCTGTTCTGCATGCTGTACAGGAAGCATAGCACTGGCATCTGCTTGGCTTTTGGTGAGGCCCCAAGAAGCTTGTACTTATGGTGGAAAGTAAAAGGAGGGCAAGCATGTCATACAGCCAGAGAGGGAGCAAGAGAGAGAGGGGGGAGGCGGTGCCAGGCTTTTCAAAACAATCAACTCTCATGCAAGAGAGTAAAGAAGCCAGAACTTACTCATTACCTGGGGAAGGGAACCAAGCCATTCATGAAGAATTCACCCCCATGACCCAAACACCTCTCACCAGACCCCACCTCCAACATTGTGGATGATATTTAAACAACATGAGATTTAGAGGGGACAAACATCCAAACCATATCGCCTTCTTAGCAAGGATCACCATCTTGGCCAGGATCACCATCGTAGCCAGGATGGTGATAGATTTTGGATGTCTGTCCTCTCCAAATCTCATGCAACAACACTTCTGGGGGAACTGGAAGTGGATTCTGTCCTTCTGCTTTCTTGATGCTAAAAGTCTAAGTCTCTGGTTAGAAATTTTGGACCTCACTTTGATAAGAGCCTTGTGCAAGATCCAAAGCACAGTGATAGCCTAGGGAACCACTAGGAAGAGAGAATGACTCCATAGACCACAGCAGGTGCCCATCTGGAGATTGAGGTACTATGACTTTTTGAGGTACTCTGTGTTAGGCTATTCTCACACTGCTAATAAAGGCATGCCTGAGACTGGTAATATACATGGAGAAAAGAGGTTTAATTGGCTCAGTTTCACATGGCTGTGGAGGCCTTAGGAAATTTACAATCATGGTGGAAGGGGAAGCAAATACATCCTTTTTCACATGGCAGCAGGAGAATGAGAGCTGACCAAAGGCGGAAGTCCCTTATAAAAGTCATAAAACCATCAAATCTCATGCGATAGTGAGAACTCACTTTCATGAGAAACTGCCTCCATAATTCAATTATCTCCACCTAGTTCCACCCTTGATACATGGGGGCTATTACAATTCAAGATGAGATTTTGGGTGGGGATACAGCCAAACCATATCATCCTCCAAAAAGGTATACATGGGTATGGGATACATAACAATGAGAAGTTCATTCTGGATAGATTATGAGATTACATGACTGTATATTGGATACACCTTTGTTAAGTAATCCTATAATAAATGAGTGATTTGAATAGGGTATGTCTGATTGGTTTCCTTGTATGATGTAAATGTCAGGGGAATACATGAAGTGGGGAATATTATAGGTCTCAGAACCTTAGGAATTATTCCACATTGTGAGGCCTGATGGCTTAGGCTTCTTTTGTTTGTGGAGCCATGTTTATCTAACCACTTGCTTCCAAAATCACTTATCTAAAAAATGGATAATGCCTTTGAGGATAATAATAACT